AGGCTTTGGTTACTGCATTTAAACTGAGGTTTTACCACCCTCGTAAATCTGCCGGGGAGGGGAGGCAGGGAGGGAGGGGTCAGCATTTGGTACTGGTTTTGCAATTAAATTGCTTCAAGCTGTTGAAACATTGGGGAAGTTTTTTGACCTACTTTCGTGCAGGCTTTAGAAATTGTTGGGATGTTTTCTGCTCTGTCTGCGTGGAATTCAGCTGGATTACAGAGAAAAGGAATTTCGTGGGTCTGCTTGTAAAGTCAGATTTATTTAAAAAAAATAAATTAGATGTAAAAAAAAAAAAAAAAAAAAAAAGGCTTTGTCTTCAGACAGTTCCTTCGTCTCCAGCTTGATGAATTCCCATGGGAACACGTAGTGGGCTGCACCCAGTGGAAGGAATCCCTGTTCTGCACATGCCATGGAGAGTGGGGATGATGGAAGGAGGTGGATGCTGCCTTGGTCCCACACCTGGCATCCCTTGGGAGCTGTGGTTGGCCTTGCAGGGAGCACCCATGTGCTCCTGGCTGGTGCTGCCCAGAGCACACTCGGGTGTCCATCCTGCTTCAGCAGCCCTTGGAGCACGCCGGGACACAGCCCAGCAAGAGCCAGCAGTGTTCAGGAATGAAAACCTCGTTTGAAGGGCCAGGCTGCAGAAAGAGCCGCTAGCACAGCAGATGGCCATGAACAAAAGAATTGCAGTGACTCGATGTACTTTTCACTGCTCGGACTCCCTGACTTTTTGTACTCGTGCATCTCCCTGAGGAAACAAGGCATTAGTTTTCAGCTCTGTAACTTTTTCCTCTGTCAGTGCTGTCATCTTGGGGCTTAGATACGTCAGAATGTGTTGGACATTTTTCCAGTTAAAAAAACCAAATTCCTTTAGTCTGTATTTGGCTCGCTTAGGAGTTCTATATGCATGTTTTTACCTAAAAACCTGACGGATGGAGGAGTGGGGTGCTGCTTTCCTGCTCACTTCTTATCCCTGGGGGCTCAGAGTGTGATGCTGCTCATCCCTGGGCTCCTGGACAGGGAGGATGAGCAGGAGGCTCTGCAGTGTGGCACAGCCCCACATGGATGGGGTTTGGGAGGGGCTGCTGGAAGTGCTGGAATGTTCACTGCTATGAGCAGCTCAGGTGGTGAAGCATCCCTACAAGGAGATCCCCTGCTCACAAGTTCATGTAAGGGTTTTTTTTGGGAATTAATTTGAGCACAAATTGCGTGGCCCCAGCCTGTCCTGCCTGCTTTGGCAATCTTCTCCAGCCCATGAGGACGAGAAGTGTGAGTGGGCAGGCGTTGAAGATAACACCTCCTAATCCCTCCTGCTGCTCCAGCAGGAAATGCTGCTGCTGGCTGATAATTAGAAAGTGAACAGACTGTGGAAGAGATGATGTTGGCATCCCTAAATCTCTGTCCTGGGCTTGGGGGAACTTCACTAATGATCTGGATTAGAGAGGCAGAGAGAGAGACCTGGGTTTACCAAGGATGATATGTAGGGCAAACACAGTGTGCTGTGCTGGGGATCCTCAGGCTGGTCCCAAGCAAGGGGTTCTGTTCCCTTGGGACACACTCATAGGCTGGGCAGGTTTGGAAGCTCCACTGTGGAGTTTTGAAGAGGCAGCTGATGCAGTCAGGGGTCCAGCAAGGTCAAAATTCACTTTGCAGCGGGAGTTAGGTGCAGATGGATCGGAGCTACAGCTCTGCTGTCTCTTGAGACAAGAGAAAATCGACCCTTCAGGAAGGCTGGGCTGCATCCAGCTGTAGGTGCTGAGCTGAAGCAGGGCACAGACACCCTTTTAAATCCCTCCAACCCTCCCATGACTTCTCTATGGGTATCAAAGCTGGGTCAGTAATGCAAAATAAGCAGGTGGAGATTGGAACCTGCACCAGCCTGTGTGTCCTGGGACCACACCTGGGGTTCCCAATATAATTTTTTCTTGTGGACCAGATGCTGGTGTGTCTGAAGGCAGGGACATCAAATTTACTGGAGATTTTCTTGCTCTTGAAAGCATCAACAGGCAGTTGGCTCATCCTTTTCCTTCCTCTCTTTCTGGCATGTTTTTAAAGTGGCTGCTTAATAGCAAATAGCAGGCTTGCTCCATTAGCTGTGTTGGGAATTTTTATTCTTAAGCATGTAGAGGAAACCCACCCCAAAGTCTGGCCTTGCTCTTTGACAGCCTCCTCAGTGATAATTGTTTTCTTCAGTGCCAGCACCTCCTCTTGCTGCAGGGAGGTTTGTGCAGCCTCTGCCCCCCTCACACCCACCCTTGTTATCATATAAATCACAAAACAAGGCCAGGGATAAACAGGAGCTGCAGTAGCTGTTAGCCGTGTGTAAAAACAAATCACATGGAAACAGTATAATTACTGAGAAAATATCAACTTGAGTAATGCAGTAATTGTTTTCTTCCCTCCAGCAGATTTATTCCACCTCTCATGGCTCTTCCTGCTTTGGAAGTCTGTGACTTCACGTTAATAAGGAGAATTTCACATTTCACACTGCACTTGTTCAGGGTATGACAGTCTAGAACAGGGGAATATATTTTGAGGGCTTCTTGAGAGCTGTAGGAAGCAGAGCACTGGTTGAAATATCTCTGACTATTGGGGTCTTCTCCATGCTCTGAGTGGACTCTGGTCCAAAAAACCTTTGCAAACCTTTTTTCATCCCACTTTTGTGATTTTATAAGGGTTTCTTTATGCCTTGCATAAATCTATGAGCTCTGGTTTTTTGATGTCAGCACTATGCAGACGACTTTTTTTTTTTTGCCTTCAGTTTTGGTTTTTCCTTCTTTTTGCTGCTTGTCATTTTGTTGATTTTGAGAGGTGCTTGTTGCATGACATGCTCAGTATGTGAGGTCCAGGGACACATTGCCTTTCTCTATTGCTGCAATCATCTCCTAATACCAGATGATGATGATGATGATGATGATGTCTGTGCTGTGACTTGCAGCTGTTTCCCTTACTCAGCTTAGCTGCTCTTTTGCTTCAGATTCTGCAAGGTAAAAAGAGAAAAATGTATCAGGAACCAGGTTTCCAAGGTGTTTTGTGCCAAGTTTAAAGACGACCTGTCCTGCATATTGGCAGATGTAAGAAAGTCTGATTTGTTTCATGTGCACAATGAGGAGCCTTTCTCTCCTGTATTTTTGGCAGGTAACTTCCTTTCTTTTAGAGAAACCTACCCACCTACAAGCCACTGCCACTTCCCCTTCCTGTGCCTTAATCTGAACGAGATTTCATGAGCACCTAATTTATCTTTTGCTTCTTGTGGTTGTCCTGCTCCTCTTGACTTGAAGAAAAAGCAAAACCACAAAAAAACCCCAGTTGTGGAGAACACAAAGCCATCCCACTGCAGCAGACTGACCATTTTTGATATCTAATGCTGGGAAATTAAAACAAGATGGGATCTTCTCTACAGGATCCTCCAGAAAGCTCTCGTGCTCTTTCAGCTTCTCTTCTGGATGGATGCTGGATACAACCAGCTTAGGCTTTCCAGTGCCTTTGTGCTCCTGGGGTTGGATGGGGCTGAGGCAGGACAGTGAGAGTGGGGTTTTGGGGTGCTCCTTGGCTTTCTATCCCTTGATGGCAGCAGTGGGAAGGGCATTGGTGCCTCCAGGCTGCACCCAGCAGGGACAGGGCAGGGCAGATGCTCCAACAGCATCGCAGCAGATGCTCTTGGGATGCTGAGCAGTACCCGGTGCTTTCCCGGGTGTCAGCACCGAGGGGAGGGTGCTCAGTTGGTGCAGAACAGTGTTGGCTTTCTGCAGGGCTGCTGTCATGGAGGTGGCAAAGTTGTGTTGAACTTCTCCCCTTGTTTGCCTCCCCCATCCCTGCCCTCCCCTCGGCAGCAGCTGCAGTGTGCTGCCTGCCCTGCCTGGCAGTGGTTTAGGGTTACAAACTGAGCCACCACTCCTCTTCTCCCCCTCCAGGAAAAGAAATCCATCCACTCACTAAGCAAATGAATAGATAAACTTTTAATTAAGGCACTGAGTGGCTGCCAGAGGAGTGTCCTGGGTCAGGGCAGGCTGGTGCTGTGCCGTGATCCCATCTGTGTGGCCGGTGGCTATAAAACATCTGCTGCATCCCAGGTGCACTCCTCCACGGTGGGCAGGCTCATCCAGGCATGCAGGCATTTCTGTGTTGGCAGAAATGGGCTCCTTTGCTTGCAGCTGCAGAGGGGAAGGCTGCTGTGGGATGCAGCAGAGGCACTGGGGCTGTGGGGTGCTCCTGGCATCCCAATTAGTTGGGTTCAGCAAACTCGTTGCACTGCTGGGGGCAAAGCTGAATGTTGAGATGTGTTTTCCCTCAGCCCTGGGCTGTTAGAGCTCTCCCTGTCATGGCCACAGAGGTTTTGCTGATCTCTCCAGTCTCTGACTTGAAGGGTCTTGTTGAGCTTGAGAGCCTCTTCACCTGGAATTTGAGAAACGTCAGTTTGGTCTGGTTTTATCTTGACTCACCTATCCCCTTTTTCTCCATATTTGGATAGATGCATTCAACATCCAACACTCAGAGTAGCCCCAGGGTTTAGGAAGAGCTGGAGAAAGTTGGCCATGAAGGAGCTAGGAGCCCTCTTTCCTCCCAGGAGCTGTCCCTTCTCCTTCAGCATTGTTCGTGCTCTTGTCTCTGTGGTGTCTCATTTTTCCAGAGAAGATGTAGCCTTGAGCCCTCTGAAGGGACAGTGGTGCTGGGAGCTCCTGAATATGGATGGGTTTATTGATCCTGTAGGAATATGAGCAGCACTCAGGGTGGTATGAGCCTCTGATGCTTTGTCAGGAGGAAGAGCTGCTGGCATGTCCCTGGGAGAATAACCTGGTTCTCTTTGGAGATGCTGGAGGTTGTGGAGCACTGTGGTGATGTGATCTGACAGCTGGTACTCCCTAGTCTAGCAGGTTTTTTTGGAGGGCTTTGTATATCTCAGAAGGCTGGGAATGGGCCAGGGAGCTGTGGGAGGATGAGAGAAGGATCCAGAGTCTCCTGGGAGAGAGCTGATCTGCTTGTTTTACACTTCCCAGGATCGTGGCCTGCCTGGCAAACTGGAGCCCGTGTCTCCTGTGAGCCCTGCTCACCCTGACACGGAGCTGGACCTGCTGCCAGCCCGGCTCTCCAAGGAGGAGCTCATCCAGAACATGGACCGCGTGGACCGCGAGATCACCATGGTGGAGCAGCAGATCTCCAAGCTGAAGAAGAAGCAGGTAAGAGGCCGTGCTCTGGAGGGGAACACGTGTCCTTGCTTCTGCACGCTGCCAAGTGCCCCGTCCTTGCCTCTGCATGGCCACAGAGGGCAAGTGGCAATGCCAGTGCAGCAGGATCACCTGTGTCCCTGCTCCCTGTTGTGACAGGGGTGGTGGCTGCCGTGCCTGCAGTCTGGAGCTGGTAGTCACAAGGTGAGGGAGGGAGCTTTGCAAACCCAGCTTGTAGCTCTTTGCATGTCAGAGAACCTCAGAGAGAAAAAAATGTGTCCTCAATGCCTATGGAAGTGGTGAGCAGCAGAGCTGGGAGCACAGCCTGGGTTGTCCAAAGTCATCTGTACAGCCCAGCACAGCACAAGGTCTTTTCTTTTTCCTTTCCAGCAGTGATCTCTCCCCAGTGCTGCTGTTGCTGCCAGTATTCAGTACCAGGCTGTTTAAAACATGGCTTCAACAACCAAGTGGTCCTTCCAGTGCATCCAGTCCCCTTTCTCTTGAGCCTTGAGCAGCATCTGGTGCAGCTCCAGTCAGGGCTGTGCTTGAGCAGGAATTTGAATCTGGTCTTGCTGGCTGCAGCTTTACCCTGCACAGGAGCACTCCCCAGTAGAAGGATGGCCCACTCAGTGTTGGCCTGTACATAATTACCATAAACCCATTAAGAGATTAATATAACAAAACCTTCAGGGATGTCCATGAAAAAAAAACACAGACTTAAGGGCTTTCACTTCTTAAAGCAAATCACTTTTCTGCCTCTTTTTTTTTTCTGGTTGCTTTATTTTCTTTGCTTGGGATGAGTTTCTGAACTCCCTGATGGCTGCTAATCCCAAACTGCCCAAGAGGAATGACCTTTCCCAAGGGGTTGTAGCTACAGTAGGAATTTGGGAATGGAGCAAAACCTCTTCTTGGGCTGTTTGTTCAAGCACCTTGAGAATGAGCACACACTTGCTCTTCCCCATCAGACCTATATTTTCCCATACCAAACACACTCCCTTTCTGTCCTGCAAGACAAAGCAGGAATATTTTCATTTGGCTTAATTAATGTGAAGTACCTTTTTTTTTTTTTTTTTTTTTTGTATATGTTGCTTTAAATCTGCAGAGGTGTCTCTGAGTGCTTAGGGAGAGGAAGCCAGGAGTGGGCAGAAGCAGCTGTGCTGGTGGGGGTGAGGCAGCAGCCCTGTGTGCCAGCTCACAGAGCCCAGAGGAACATCTGGAATGGCCACAGAGGTTCCTCTTGCTGCTTTTAGTGGAGCTGAGTAAAGTCAGCCCTTCCCCTCTCCCTCGTAGGAAGCTCAGACCAAGTGTTGGTGTCCTCTCCCACCTGGCAGTACTGGCTGCTGGCCCATGGTTTTTTACTCACATTTGAGGAAAGTGATGCAAACCATGGTCATTTCCTGCTCTGGAAAAGGGCTTCCCAAGTGGGATATGTGCCTGGCAGGGCAGGGAGAGTCCCTGTCATGGCAGCTGGGAGGATTGACAGCTCTGATGATCCATTGCCTGACTTTTCAGGATGCTGAGGAGCTGCTGCTGCTCACCGTTAAGATCAAACTGTCCTTTCTGTGAGGAAATGAGGTTTTATTGTTGGCTGTTCACTTGCTTTATTTCTTCCCTATGAACGAATTTTATGATTCTTCTTGCCCACAAAAATGCTCTGTTAAATGGGGAAGAAGGTGAAAGTGGCTGTTGGCAGAAAAATTTTCCCCTCCCTTCCTTTTATTCTATTTTTTTTTTTCTTTTTTGGCACATGGTGGCAAAGTCATATGGTAGAAAAACTGACCTCCCCCACTATGGCCTCCCTCCCCCTCTGGCTGGAGCCTTCCCCATCCCAGTCCTCCAGCAAAGCTAGCACATCTGGGAAGAAGTGTTTTTGGAGCAGGAGGTCCTGTCTGAGATGCTCCAGGAACGTTTTATGCATCTGTGCATCTGAGCTGTCAGTGCAGGAGCATGAGTGAGGGAAAGCAATGAGCCTGGAACAGATACTGCTCCTGCAGGAACGTCAGTGGAGCAGGGGAGAAACTGTATGCAGCCAGAATATCAGAATATCCTAATGCTTTTCCCCTCTGTCTTTGGGAGGCCTTCTCAGGGTAATTAAATACACTTGTATGGAAAGGCTGTGCAAAAAAAAAAAAAAAAAATCCCAACCAAGCACAATCCACCATCTCTCTCTTTCTGGTTGTTCCAAAAATGGCAGGGAAGGCTCTGCCTGGACTTTGCAAGAAGCAAACGTCTTCGGCAAGCTGAGAAACCTTCCCCAAACCCTGCACACCCCTGGCAGGAGGCCACCTCCGTCAGCCATCCCCCGCTCATTCATGCGCCATATGCGCTCGGATCTCTCGCCGAGTCCTCTCTCCCCCTCTTCCTGACAGGCAAGGATAATCCTTATGCATTTATTCCTGGCAGCGGTACCGGCGATCTGAAGGAGAAATGAACTGCTGGGCTGTTCTCTCTGCAGTGGCGCCGGAGCCTCCCCGGGCGCTGAGCTCAGCCAAGGCTCTCCGGGAGTACAACACTCCCACCTGGTGATGGAGGTGGAGCTGCCCGGGTGGAGGAGCTCCAGGGTTTCCCCTTCCATCGGGCTGAGTTGCCTGTGTTCTCTGTGAAAGTGTTTGTCGGAGCTGCCCTGTGGTTGGAAGGCTCTGCTCTCTCCGGGCAGGTGAAGCATCCCAGTACCCGGTGATGGCAGCTGGGGGTGTGTGGGGCAGCCTTGGCTTCATCAGGTGTCTGCAGCACGGGAGCTGTGCCTGCAGGGATGGAGCCCTCCTGGAGCATCACCCCCCTTCCTTCCCAGCAGAGCTGCAGCCTGCACTGGTCCCTCTGTAGCACATGGTCCAGCCAAAGGGTTCCTTTCCTGGAAGGAGCACCTCTTCCACTTGGAAATGGGTTGGCCTGTGGGAGCTGTGGCTAATGGTGGCATCTTGCATCCCTTCAGCACTGCTGCCATTTGGGGAGGGGAGGGAGGTCTTGGGCAGCCGCTGCTGGGAGGAGGGAGAGTGTGGAGCTGTCAAGACTCATCTCTCATCCTGCTCTCTCCCTGTAAAGGTCACAGTCCCAGCCTGGCTTTTGTGGCAGACCTTTGAGAAATCCATTTTGTCCCTGTCTGGGAACCCTGACCTATTTTGCTTTGCCATTTCCCACAGCTCCCAGGAGTAGCTGTCACAGGCTGCAGTCAGGTGTGCTGCCTCCAGCCCCTCCTCACATCCTTACCCCAGCATCTGGCCCTTTAATATCCATACAGTGCTACTCCACAGCGAGTAGAGTTTGATTCTCTGCTGTATTTCAACTATAATTAGATCTGTGTTTCTTCTTCTAATGAGCTGTTTTTAATGAGCCTCCACTTAGTGGCAAACTTTGGTTTCCTGATAGGCCATCAAACCCTCTCGTGTGAAATCCCTCGCTACACACTCGACCACTTGGCAGAATTTTTGTGGCTTTCCAGAACGATATGGCCAAGTTTTGGATGCTTTGACTTTTTTTTTTATACACAAATATTTTTCCCAAGAGAAGTAGATATATCTGATCCTTTTTGCTGGCTCGTTCTTTGGGGTTTTTGGAGTTTATCCCATGGAGGACGTGTGATGAGATGTCTTAGGAGGACACCAAGGAAGAGCTGGCAGGTCCTGGAAGTGCTGCTTCTGTGCCAGGGCTGATGCCAAATACAGCTTTGCAGCCCATGGTTCAGCTGTGGCTTCCCAAGGAGCTCTTGTCCCCTGTCCTGTTGTTTGGGCCACCTGAAATGTGGCCATGGGTGACAAAAGCAGAGGGCTGGGAGCTGTTCCTGTGATTGGAGCCTTCAGTGTGCCACCATGGTGTGGCTCTTTGCAGGCAGGAAGGGATCCCTGCAGTGCTGGGAAAGCTTCATCCCCTTGCAGGGAGCAGATGGTTCAAGCTGGCTGGTTCCTGGCTCTTCTCACTCGTGGCTGGAGTGACTCTAAGGCTGTTGGTGATGCCAATTTATGGGACACAGGCTCTCCTGCACTGCCAGAGCCTGCTCCCCACTCTGGCCAGCAACACCAGGTTTTTTGGCTGTATCTTGGTGTTCCCTCTACTGCTGCTTTTCCCTCTATGGGGAGAGGTGTCCACCTGTGAGGAGCTGGAGTCCAGAGCACAGGGCGCTTCATCCACTGAAACACAATTTTAGGAATGTGAATTTTCTCGGCCAAGCCATTAGACCTGTCTGGGTGCTTAAGTGCTTTCTTGGGTTCATCCCAAGTGCATCCTCCTGCCCTGGTGTGCTCATCAGCAGGAGCAGAGATGATGGGGAGGAGGAATAGATGCTCACCTTCTTCTCAGGCCACCAGCTGCCACTGTCCCCGGGAAGTCAGTGGTGTGCTCTCCTCTGAGACAAGTCCCAGGTGTATTTTCTTCCTAGTACAAGACTCGCTTGATTTTCCTCATGCTTCAACAGGGAATGCTTTAACTGCGGGAAAAAAGACCCACAATGATTTCGAGATTCAGAGCTAGCAAGGAAAAAATCCTCAGCGTTTTTTGACAGCCGCTCCCTCTCCTGTGCCTGTGCTGCCCCGCAGCTGCGGCTCTCCCTCCTCACAGGCTGGCCCCAGGAGCAATCTGTGATTTCCTCTTTCAGCTGAGCAGTTCCTCAAACTCATGGGAAGGGCTGGGATGTCTCCTCCCACCTCACAGTGCTGGGCAGAGAAGGAGCTCAGGTGGAATGTCAGGTTTAGCTGCTGACCACGGTGATATTCCAGAGTGCAGGCATGGCTGGTTCACGAGCCATCTAATGGAGAGCAATCATCCCAAGGCATGTCCTGCAACCACTCCACTGCAGGGTGAAGCTGAGGGTGGGGAGCAGCCTTGCTCGTCACCCCTGGCTCCTGCACCTCTCCCTGCACGCAGCAGCAGCTCCAGAGGCAGGTAGCAGCAGGGAGCCGGGCTGGAGCTGTGGTTTCATTTAAGTGTTCCCAGTCAAATCGTTATTTCTAGCCTCGGGCCCGTTCCAGGAGGCTCCTTTGAGGCAGGTCCTCATCCTCCATACCTAAAACACGCCGACCCACGAGCACAGGGTGGGTGCCTGGGGCAGGCCAGGGCTGCGCTTGCGTGGCTGGGGCTGCTGTGAGCTCTCCTCCCTCTCCCCAGCCCCAGCCTGCCCGTGTCTTGCAGGAAGTCTCCTACCATGGCGGTTTCTGCCTCGGTCACGGCACCACAGAGAGTCTCGTGTGGACAGGGACTGCTGCGTTTCTTGCTGTGACTCACCCTCCTCCTCCTCCCCCCCCTCCCCATCTCTTTCCACAGCAACAGTTGGAGGAAGAAGCAGCCAAACCACCAGAGCCTGAAAAACCCATCTCTCCCCCTCCTATCGAGTCCAAACATCGCAGCTTGGTGCAGATCATCTACGACGAGAACAGGGTGAGTCTGGAAGTGATGGCAGCACAGATGTGTGATTGTGCCGTGTCACCGTGGCCAGGGATGGGCAGGCTGGTGAGGATCAGGTGGGGGGTTTTCCTGGGTGTTACCTTTGGAGTGGAGGGTGTGGGAGTGGGATAGATGGAGCCCTGTCAGGATGGTGTGGATGAGCATTAATCCCTCTGAAGATCTTCTGAAGAACCTGCCTTGGGAGGGGTTTCATATGATCAGCTTTAGAGATGAAATGTTGAAGAGATGCTCCAGACTCCTCTCTGTTAAACAGTTTGCTTCATCCTCTCCCCTGAGAGTGAAGCAGCTTGAAAGCTGCCTCAAGGGGTGGGCTTTGACATGGTGGGTGGGCTGCGTGGATGGAGGGTGACATCTGTGGTGCTCTAATACTGGCAGGCCAGCTGTGAGCTCTCCTGGCTGCCCCTAAGCGCCCCAGGCTGGAGCAGCAAGGATGTGGATGCAGCCATGGCTGGATTTGTGGATATTTGATGCTGTAAATAGCATTAACAAAGGTCAGGCTGGCATCCCTGGCTCTGGATCTCTGCCTTGACCGCTCATTTATCAGCCACTGCCTGTAACAGCAGCCCGAGGAGAGATGAATTTTGCTGTGTGCATCGGAGCGATGCTCAGAAATTGGGCCCTTTGGTAGATAATCAAGCATATTCATTTTCATTTAGGTGTTGGATAAAAAGGATGATTTTGCATAAAAGGAAAACTACCAGTCGCTAATTATTTTGAATTGCAAGGCCTGCGATTTCACTGGGAGCTGCAGAAATCCAGGTGCCTGACTCCTAAAAAGAAAAAAAAATCGCCTACCCGCTCTCCCAGGCAGTGCAATTTTCCTGGTTTTCCTTTTTCCATCTGCTGCTCTCCCTGAGCAGTAGGAAACCCAGTGCTGGCACGGTCTGTTGTGTGAGTGGGTGAAGGCTGAGGTCGATGTGTTTGAAGAATTAGCAAGTGCCAGCTGGTGATGGCTTCACAGCATTGGGCTTTGGGGGCAGGTGCTGAGTGCTCCTCAAAGCCATTCTCACCCCTCTCTGGGGGTCCTGGGCTAGATGGTTTGTGCCTCCTGTGCAAGGGGGGAGGCTCAAAAAAAGCGAGCTCTCAAACATTTTTGTTCCTGTTCGTTTGAGCCCCGTCCTCCTTGGGCACTCTTGTGTTGCTGAACCACATTACAAAGGGGAGAAACGGGTGATGGTGGTGGGGCAGGAGGGAAAGGTGATCTTCATCCGTCACATCCCCAACATCCTGCATTGTAGCAGTTCCCCATTAGCTGGAGCTGGCTTAGGGTGGTGTCCTGCCAACCCCCTCTCCTGCTTTGTCACCTCTCATCTCTGCCCACACCAGCAGAAGGGTCAAAATTTCTCTCCCACCGCCTTCTCCACAGCAGACAGGATCTGCTCTCCCAGCCTCACTAGCACTCAGTTGGTCCCTTGGCATTTCTGCCCTGTCCCATGGATAATGGCAGAGATTGTGGAGGGAAAGCATGAGGTTCTAGATTATTCCTGGAAAGTCCATGGCCATAACACGTGGGACACTGTCACACACAGTGCTCAGAGCTGGTGGTGTCCCTTTGTCAATATTAGGCTGATTTCAGCCAGCTTGGTGCCAGGAGTTTCACCATTAACCTTTGTGATAGGTGCACTCATTCCAGGTGAGTGCCCAGCAAGCAAAGGTCACGTTGGACACCAAAGCTGTGTAGAATTTCAAAGCTGGCTCTGTGTTCATGTCTGAATTATCCAAGGGATGGGCAAACAATGATTGTTCCCTGTTCTTGTAAAGTCCCCTGGTGTGTCGTGTGTGAGGAGCCTGCGGGCAGGAGACTCCAACCAACAACCTTCCCCTTGGCTTGACAGAAACCAGAGCAGGCTGCAGGCAGGTTCCTCCTTTGGACAGGACAGGATCCATCTATGGGCAGCTGAGAGCTGACAGCATCAGTGGCCAGCTGTGACGGCTGAGAGGTGGAAGGACCCTTTCCAGAACCACAGCAGGGAGAGGCTGAGCTGGGGCTGCAAGGGGAGGGGAGTGCTGAGTGTTGTCTGTCCAGGCTCAAAGGTGGGAACCAGGATGTAATTGCCCTGCTAAAGAACATTCAGGGGCTCAGCTTTCAGCCACTCATGTACTGGATGTTTGGGATGGATTTTAGTGGTGGCTGCTCTTCCTTTGGGGCCAGGAGGAGGAAAGCTGGAAGAGGGAGGGTCTTGGGATTAGGTTCAGTTGGGATTGTGGGGGAAAAGAGTGGCTGGTGGTCAGCTATGGGGTGGGTTTGATGGCAGCAAATCCTCCAGGTCTATCCAACTGCCTGTGAATGTGGGAGAGGCCCAGACACTCCCGTGCTGACCTGCAGCTTTACAATTAAATTGCAAGGTGAGTTGGTAGGAGCAAAGGACTGCGAGCCAGATAGAAATGTATTGATTTAGAGTGAGGAAGGTCGCTGAGCCAAATTTTAAGCTTTTCTGCCTCTTCTGTGCCGTGGAAAAGCAGTGAAGTTGATGCCTGGAGGTCTACTTGTGGGAAAAGCGTCGGTAAGGGCTGAGCCATGCACAAAGGGAAGGAAAGCCAGATTTACTCGCATCACTTGGCTTGTGGCTTGCTTGAGGGAGGCAGTGCACGCTAAGAAATGCAAATAAAAAGAGGATATTCAGGCCTCAGGAGGAGGCGAGAAAGGAAAGCACCCCAGAAGCGCTGGCAAAGCCTGAAACGATCTTTAAAGAGCAACGTTGTGGAAGGGGCAGAAATCCAGCCCTTGTGCCAATCCCCGAGCAGGTGGGAGGCAGCAGCTTCGTGGAGGGGCTCTTGCCTGGCTCTGGCTTAGTTTTTGTGAAGCAGGGTCTGTGCTGCAGCGAGCCCATCCCCGTTCCCACCGCTGCTGCCAGCCCGTGCCGGAGCCGCACACTGCCCGCGCTTATACCCCGAACAAAGGAGAGCCCAAAAACCATGGGAGAGGAGGGGTTACGTGAGGACAGAGCAGCTAGAAAAGCCGGAAAATCAAGTTAGCCAGCCATTCTGTGACCTACTTTCCTTTTGGCGATAGCTGTGGCTTTGCAGGCGTGAATGGTTTCTAATTTTAGCTTATGGTTCATCAGGGAAGTCTATATATTTTTCTCACCACCGTGCTGTGTATGGATGAGGGGTTGGGATGAGGGTGGTGCTGGATTGTATCTGATTTTCTCCAAATTCAGGTTTTCTGGTGCTAAATGCCCATCACGCTGCTGTTCTCTCTCGTGACCTACTTAACGTGTATGATTTGAAAAGTTCCTCGGTGTCAGAGAGGATAATTATGGAAAATGTGACCTGTAATCCCCTCTTGCTACACTCTGCTGGACATGTAATTGATTTCCAGAAAAAAAAAAAAAAAAAAAGGTGACTGTACAGATTCTGCTGGGGAAGAGTGGAGAGAAGCTGCTCCTGGCTGCAGTCAAATCCTGGACTGAGTGGTTGCATTTGGGAAGCTTTTAGAGGACTTGGATTGTAGAAGAACAGTTGATATTCAAGATCCAGGTGTCTTCTCCCCTGCTGTGTGCTGACCAAAGCCATTTTCTCTCGTGTCCAAAGATGGGATGTGAAGTTGCACCCAAAATGTACTTTTTGGGAAGTCTTTGCAGTGTAACGCAGAAAAACACACATTTGTCAAATGTACCATTTCTGAAAGAATTTATGAGAATGGGAGTTAATGTTTTTGGTACTGTCTGTGGACTAACCTGAGAACAGACAGTGTGCAGCATTGTCAGAAGCATTTGAGTCCTATTTTCAAAAGTGTGTTCAATCCTTGAAGAAACAAAAGTGGTGTTTGAAAACAATTATGGGGGCTACAATTGCCAGGAGCCTTTGAGAAGTGCCGTGGGAAGCTCAGGGGACAGTTTTGGCTGCAGGATGCTCAGGGGCTCCTCTCCAGGAGCTGGGAGCTGGCAGGGTAGCCCAGAGCTACCTGGAGAAATCAGGTTGGGATGGATGCCTCGGTTGATCCAGTGATGGAGACATTGGGGGTCTCCTAAATTAAACCCTGGGAGTGGTTTTAGTATCTCCCCTGCAAAAGAAAGCTGATCTCTGCTGGGTCTGGCACCTCAGAGGCGGTGGCTGTGTGACACAGCCTCCTTGAGGGCTTTAATTTGCACCTCTGGGATGTGTTATTGTATCAACAGAATTTACTTTTCTTCCACCTCAAATCCCCATAACCAGGACAGATCATCTGTGTGTATTTTTAGCTGTAGCTTTATGCCACTGGGCGTTCACGGGATTCCTTGCATCCACCTTCCCTTGAAATCGATTGAACATACCTGGGCTTGAAGATGTTTTTGTGCTTTAAACGGAAATTTCCAGGTCTCTTGCTAAGCCCGGGAAGGAGAGCAGGATTGCTTTGTGCCTTCCCTGGGATACAGGGCTCTCCTTGGCACTGTGTCCTGGAGGAAGCTGCTACCCAAGCCACCATGGCTTGGCTGGGTGAATTCTCCTCCTGTGTGTCCCAAAAACTCGTGCTCGTGTGCACGCAGAGGTACCCGTGCCATCTCCCTGACCTGCCCGCAGGTAGCCATGCCCAGCTCCCCGCTAGCCAGATGCGAGTGGCTGGAGATGGCTGTGCAGCAGGACCAGCAGGACTCCTGCTCAGAGAGAGGCCAGCAGGCAGAAAAAGCAGCTCCTGTGCTCGTGTCCCTGCAAAGCATCAGCCTCCTGTGGAACACGGCTCTCGTTTATCGCAGAGCCAGAGGTCGCGTCAGGACGTGCAGTGACATCCCCGTGCCAGGGAGGGGACACCTCGTGCTGTGACCCACCGCAGCCTGGCCAGGGCTGGGACCATCCCCTCACGTCACCCCTGTGACAGGGAGCCCATCCCTGCCCTGCTGTCAGCTCTCTGGAAAACTGCCTTTGATGCAGTGCAGGCAGTGCCAGCAGCAGCAGAGTCTGTCTTGCTCTTGAGATTGAGCTGGTGGAAATCAATAAGATTAAATTTTAATTCGTTTTCTGTCTTGATGCTTGTTCCTTCAAAAGGGCACGGCTATCTATCTATAAATTCAGCATTATGCTGTAAAATTGGAATTCAAAGGACTGTTTGGAACTTCTTCCATCCCCTGCTGCTGTTGTGTCTGTGCAGAGCACATTCCCAGCTATCCGTTTTACCCTCAAATACCTTCATAAAGCATTAATGCCCCATCCATAAATAAGAGAATAAATAAATGAAGGCTTTTAGCATTGCAAAGTATAAGC